CCATAATGGCATTCTTTTTCTTTGCCAAGCTAACTTGTTGCTCTATCCCTGGTGAAGGAATCTACCCTGCCTCCCAAACTGTTATGGACATTTTAGACAAATGGACACTTTAGAAGGGCTGAGGACTCTGAAATAATTGAAGGTTGTGCCTTGGTCCAGACAAAGAAACAGCCAGTTTTCTCCAGCCTCCTTTGTTAATGTTCAAATCCATGATGGAATATGCACTTTTGAGAGCATATGGACTAAAAAATGTTGGGAAAGATTATTTTTTAACACTGGAACTTGAGTCTTTGTGAATGCTTGGAAAGAGGTCTTTTCCTAACCTGCATCTTGAGATGAAGAAACTGCAATCCCCAGAGGCTTTGTTTCCTCTCTTCTCTAGAAAGCTATGGAACCATGGGTGCAGATGGAGACCTGGAGGCTGTATTTGGGACCATACAAGGAAAATGAAGCTCATAGGCTGAGTGAACAGATTGTTTTGGGGTAGGTAATACATGATTTTTCCTTCTGAAAGATTAGTGTGACAGCCAGGATTCCCTTGGAATAAAAGATGAGTTAGCTATTATCAAAGCTTAGCACATTCCCCCAACTGTCTACCACTTCTCTTACCCTTCATCTCCATCCATTCCTTCCACAAATTCCTATTTTTTGATAGATACTGTGCTGAGATATGATGATACAAGCAGTCTTTGCCTCCAGGGCGCTTCCAGTTTTGTAGAGGACCCAGTGCACAAACAATACAGGGAGGCAAGTGCTATGGTGTAAGTGTGGACAAATCCAGGAGGATTCAGAAGGTATTTTGACTCAAAGGAGGAAATGCTTATTTCTGTTTTTCTCCTCCTCTAAAGGAGAGCAAGGAAGGGTTTGAGAGAGGAAGAAACTCTTAGAGTGGAGCCTGAAGGATAAAGGCTATGCTTTTCCCATTCTCTTGTGAGATCAGAAGGTAATAAAATTCTGCCCTCATAGCCCATTCGGCAAACAGTTATTCAAGTTTCTCCTCATTTTCTGCTTGCCTCTTGGTTATTTCATTGCTCTTTAGTGCTGCCATTTAAGGGATAAGTAGAAGTGAGATTTATTTATGTTGCTTTCACTCAGAAGTGAGGGAAAACAAACTGATGGAGGAAAGATTTAAAAAATAGAACATAACATTTTTATTAAGCCAGAATTGCTTTGCTTAATTGATTTTTATTAATCAAAAATTATTTCCTAATTTTTATACTGGTGAAATATTACAGCTTTGCAAATATTAATCAAAAGTGAAAACTCCTTCAACCTATTCCCCAGGAGCAGCACTATTAACAGTTGATGAATGTATTCCTGATTTTTAATTTATGCTTCAATCTACAACTCTGATATTTTAAAACAAAAATGAGATTGTGCCATTCACATTGTTTTATGTAGCTTCTGCAACTTGCTTCTTTCCTACCCCTCTCTCAACTCTCTACATCATGAACATTCTTAGTACTAATTTCCAAAGAAAATGTCATTATATGACACAGAGAAGGTTGCTGTAGTAATATATGGATATTGCTCTGAGTAAAAAGAAAAATCAATTTGGCCAAAACTTAACTCCTTTGGGAAGCCCTCTCTGATCAACTCTACTTCGATTTTTCTCGATACTTTCTTCTGAATCATGTAGTCTTTACATATTCTTTTGGTATAATGTTTGACTTCTGCTCATAAACATATTCCTTTCTTGTACTCAAGCCCTTTTGGTTGCCAAGAACAAAGAGCCCATTTGTAAGAATACACATGAACTGGAATGTTCAAGAACCGAGGGACTGGTGTCTCTTTGTGTGCTTATGTCTCCCTGTTCATCCCTTCCAGTCTTCTCACTCTCTGGGTTGGCTTCTTTACTGACTTTTCTGTTCCCTCACCACTTGGCTTCCATTTGTTCATCCATTCATTCAGCAAATAAGTACTGAAAGTCTCAACATAACCAGGGTAGTTCCTGGGTTGCTTTAATCCTGACTCCAAATCATGGCTTCCTTTTGTTCCACTTACCAAATTCTCCTTGTGCTTCTCAGTTCAAGGTTCTAAGCTTGGGCAAGTGGCCCAGTTTATGGAGGGATATTCTGTGGCCCAGGGCCTATTCATCCAGATGTGGCTAGAGGGGGGTGTGGAGGACTGTGCTTAGGAGAGCCCTTCACAGCCCTGACATGCCCAGCTCATTCCCTCAGTGTTCTCAGGTCTTACCTGTGCATCTGTGACATCTCCCTAACCAGAATGTAAATCAATACTGTATCTCTATCATGATCTGCTCATACAAAGTGTTCAATAAACAATGTTAACATAGGCACTCTTTACACGGAGGCGGGCTTGTTGTGGATAGAGGGTGAGAATCACAACCTCCCTCCTATTTAGAGAAAGCACAGCTAATTTTCAGAGCATTCTGTGCTGTAAGAACTGTGGGTCACATCACACGAATGTTGTCTTTGAAGGTAAAGGTGAAGACATATTAGGAACTGCTGGCAAATTATATCTGAGAAATATAAAGCGAGTGCCGTTTTAAAATTCCCATATTAGGGGCAGCCTGGGTGGCTCAGCAGTTTAGCACCGCCTTCAGCCCAGGGCCTGATCCTGCAGTCCTGGGTTTGAGTCCCACATCGGGCTCCCTGCATGGAGCCTGCTTCTCCCTCTGCTTGTGTCTCTGCCTCTCTCTCTCTCTCTCTCTCTCTCTCTCTCTCTCTCTCTCTCTCTCATGTGTGTCTCATGAATAAATAAAAATCTTTAAAAAATAAAATTCCCATATTTGGAAATAAAAATTGAGTACTTAAAATGGAATTAAAGACCCAGGCCAGAGTCCTTTTGCTTGGAGCCAGGCAATTTTATTCAACAACTATCTTCAACTGCCCAGGTCACAATTCCTATTAATTCATAAAATTTGTAGAAGAAATTATAACACAACATAGCACTGATGACTCAAGACAGAGGGCTAGGAGGTTAGAGTATAATTTGTACCTAGCTTCTCTTAAATAGAAAATTTTGTCAGGGATGATGTGATATAGAGAATCAATGACAATTATATGGTATTAGAAGCAGTTGGTGATAGAACTGCTGCTCAGATGGTTTTTCTACCCTGTCCTTTCACATTCTTGTTACCTGTCTTCCAGGTCTCTTCTTTCATTTGAGAGGACTTCTGCTAAACACCAGCAGAGTGGAGATTCTGGTTCAAGTAAAATAGATAGCTCGAGAAACAAATGGACTAATTCTGTTGCATAGGAAGGCAGGAGGCATTAATCCTCGAGCCACTACCAGAGTCCCAGGTGCACCGGGAGCCAGGCACACAGAACCCCTTGTACAAAGGGCCTGCCTGGGGAGAGAGGAACCCAGGGAGATACTGGTGTGCCTCAGGCTGTCAGCAGGCACAGGAAAAGCCATCTAAAGAAGCAAGCATATGGAAGAGTCAGAATCCGTATCTGTTGATGCGGTGCTCCCCTCATTCCTCTTTTTTGGTTGTAGCCAAGGCTCTCCCTCCTGTCCAGGTAGCTCTGTAGCTCCCTTACCTGGCTTCCCCACTTCCAGGTTGACGTTACTCCTTCCTCCACACCAGCACTCACTCCCCTTTCCAAAAGATCAAGTAAGTGGCTCTTCTGTTCAGAATACGTTGCTTTTTCACTGTTTGTCTCACACACTCACACACACACATACACTCACCCAAATCCTTCATGAAACGTTTATATTCTGACCCCAGCCAATTCTTATAACATCACCTGTCCCTACTTTCTGCCAATCAACAACACCAGATTCTCATTACCATCCAGCCTCCTGGCTTCTTTGTGTCTGGAATGTCACTGACACCCCAGAACCTGCCATCTGTCCTCCTCATCCTTATCTTTCCCTCCCCTTCCCACAGCACATAGAGGAAGTTGTCTGGGTTACCATAGCACTTAGATTTGTACTTCTGACCTCAGTGATTTTTGTTGTTCACAGGTTTGTTTTCTCCTTTGAACTTTGAGTATTTTTAGGGCAGATATCTTCTGTCCATTCACCTTCACACCCCAGGACCTAGCAAAAGCCAAGTGCTTGTTGCAGGTGCTCAAAGGTAGTTTTTGAGGAAGGATATTCATGGAGACGTTTGTTGTGTTTTAAATATTTGATATGCTTTTGGACTAGATATAGACAGCTCTTAATGTGTCAATCATGATAACAGGTTTCTAACATATGTTGGTTTCCTCACCATCAAAATAAAAATGTTAATCTATGTTATATAACAATTAATGTGTAAGAACAGATAGTTCAAGTACCAGGGAAAAATCTGGTTAGGAGATTGGCATGTGAATCCAAACACCCTTTTCAAGTGCTTTGAAGAAAAGTGAGGGGTAGTCTTCCTTGATAAAGATCCAGGTTTTGGGTATGTCTTTTTGCCTGAATTTGCTTAGATATAAAAATTGGGGATTGAATTACAGCTCTTCTCTCCTTTTTTTTTTTTTTAAGATTTTACTTATTCATGAGACACACACAGAGGCAGAGACATAGGCAGAGGGAGAAGCAGGCTCCCCACAGGGAGCCCCATGTGGGGCTTGATCGCACGGCCCCTGGCATCAAGACCTGAGCCAAAGGCAGATGCTCGACCACAGAACCACCCAGGTGCCCCTCTTCTCCTTTAACTCTAAAATTATATGATTCCAGTGGTTCTACTTAACAAGTGTTGAATATTACATATGTTTCTGTATGTGCTCAAATTAGCAGTCCAAGCTACACAGAAAGACCAGCTTTTTGCCAGTGCTGCAAGGCATATTCAGAAGTTCATTTGACTTTGAATAATGAACATGCAAACACATTAAATGATCATTTCCACAACTGTTCTGTTTCTTTAAGAGACCTCGCTTGTTAAGTTGGAAGATCATTGAACCATATGAGGGTCAATAAAAGAATAAAAAGTCACTGGTTAGTGATTTCAGTACAAGGAACTTGATCCTAGTTCACTATCAGTGTCCATATGCTGCTCACAGTCAAAGGGGGAGTGTTGGATCCTCAGCAGCTTGAACTTCCTCAGGATGGTTTCTGGAAGAATAATCAAGCTCCTGGTTTTTGAGCTGCTTGAGTTTGTGGCTTTCTCCACACCCACGCTTGTGATTATGGAACAGTTTGCCTATCAAAGCCTAACAGGTACCCCCGGAAAAACACATTATTGGCTGATTGTTTCCTGTTCCATTGCCTATGTGGCTTCAGTGACTCTACTGATTTGGGTTCCCATAAAAGTTCTCTTATACAAGAAGTATCGCCTTTACAAAAAAATTAAAGGATGGTAAGTAGAAGGGTTCTAAAGCAGGGAATCTCGGTGATGCTTTCAAAGATACTTTCTCAGGTATTATGTGTAAGGATATTAGCGTAGCACGAATGTACATAAGGTATATGCATTATGATTAGTGAGAAGTCATTATCACCATTTCTTTAAATGTGTTATTTTGGTGTCTTCCTTTTTTTTTTTTTAATAGGGGCATTATTCTGACTTGTAGCAAAAAGTTACACATGTTCATAAGCTTATAGTTAGCATGAGTCTATGATATTCTGAGTACTAGATGTTGGACCTAATTCCTCTGTTCACTGAACTGCATAAAGTTATCACAGTGAATTTATAGAAATCAGAACTGTAAATTTATAACATAGAATTTTACTTTTTTGTGAAACAAAGTAATGTCTGTTTTAAGATGTTTGCATTGTTTTGCAGGTCTAAAGCATCCTTTGACCCTTAACCAACTGAGATTTTTAAGCACCTGGTTTCTTTACTTAGATTTTAAAAAATGATACTTTACTATGTTAGTAAGTTCTTTTTCCCTCGTATGTGGTGGGGGGGGGTTACTTCAATAATAATTCAGAAATAATTTAAATAAATTAAGATATAATGTTAATTCAGCAGTAATTTGATGACTGTATCACCTGTATTGACTGAGTACAAATAATGTCTGATACTAATTTATTTTAACTTTTAGATCTGCAGATCATATTTTTACTCATCTGAGATTTTTTAGTTTTCTTTGCTAAGTTAAACCTTCTTTCATACGAATCTTTTATTTTAAAGTCAAACAACATCAACACATTTGAAAAGCAAGCAGCTGGGAATTGTAACAAGGGCAGGAATGTGAAAATTATAGAGAAAGTGGTCTAGTTGTATCAGGAGGGTAAAGAAGAGGAGAACTGAAATGTGGAATTCATGAGCATTCTCTGGTGCCAATTCTAGATATAGCTCCACAAATCTTGCTGGGAGACTTTCAGTTCCTTGAGGGCAAAGATCTAGAAGGGTTTCGGGAATAAACCATTTGGTTGACACTGTGTTTATTGGTGGAGTTTAGGGATTTTCCAAACCTTGCCCCAAAGTCTCATGATTACCTAAGGAGCAGGTTTAGAGCTGAGCTAGGCCCTTCACTCCTCACACCACCAGGAGTTGCTTTGACTGTCCAGGACTCCTTGCTTGACTGGGAGTTTTGAGGGAAGGGTGGAATATCCAAATGACTGTAGGAACCATTGGTTTACTCCCACCCAGGAAGGCACTTCTTGATTTTATTTAATTTTTTCACATTGACTCAAATCCCTAGGACTCTAGTTTCTGAATATCAGTCAGGCAACAAACCTTCCATATCAGTTATTATCATCATCTTAAGTTATAACTGCTTCTTTACTGATCACGTATATGCTAAGAGATTTACATGTGAATTTCATTTCCTTTTATACCACTTTGTGAATTAGGTATTTTCCTGACTTTTTCATTATTATTCCCAAGAGGAAACATGATTCGAGAGGCTTTGCAACTTCCCTGGTCATTTAACTAGTGAATGAAAGGACCAAACTTTGGACCTCCATCCATTTGACTCCATAATTGGTACTTCTAACCACTCTCCTAAACTGTCTTTGAATGACAAGATCCCAATCTGCTGGGTTTAGTTGAGGGCAAAGAAGAGAATAGTCTTTCATTTCTGTACTCTCCAGTACACATTTTGTTTTACAAATTTGGATCCTGTGCTCCCTTCTGCTAATGAGTCTTGGGCTTTTGCAGTTATAACTTCCAGTGAATTCTTTGGGGAAATACTCTTCTGGCCTTTCATTTTCTTTTGTAGGTGTGGCTGACCTAGGTGTTCTAAATAGACACAGGTTATCTATAATTTCAGCACAACTGTGAAACTATTTCCTCATGGCCTCATTCATGAGCACTGTCATATTGCTATCTCTTACTGGCATAGAAGAGAAGAGTTACCTAGCACTATTCTAGGAGCTTTACACATTCTATACTATTAAATTTAAGCTTTATGACAGTCTGATGAGGTGTATGCTAGTGTTCTCATTTTATAGATAAAGAAATGGAATCTCAAATAAGTGATCAACTTTGTCAGGTAATAAAGTTCATAAGCGGTGGAGCTGGGATTTGTAAACCCAGATTGGTCTGAATCTATGCCATTTCCTTTATCTTGTATAACTTTTCCTTTATTTTTTTTTCCTATCTTTGAGTGCCAAGTGTATTTTAAGATCAGTGCAAATCTTTTGGTGTCATTAAGATATATTCTCTCCAATGATGTATATTTGATTGTACATCAAATTGTATACTATATGATTCTCAACATTATATTTATGGATATTTTAATATATGTGGTAATGTAGAGTGTTGATCTTAATTGCTAGATAAAGATGATGCAAAAATAATTGGTATTATAAAAAGTAGGAATTGAAATAATGATTTCTGAAGAATGCTTAAATAGTTGTTTATGCAAAATTTTATAGATCCTTAGCATTCACAGATAGATTGTTGATGAGCCTATTTGAGGACCTCCCTGTAGGTTCATGATGGCATTATTAGCCTCATGAATTTGGTATTCAGGAAAGAATGAGTCATCCAACTAGTAAAGAGTTTGCCCTGGCCGTACAGCTGAGAGGTACAGACCTGAGTTGAAATCCCAGCTTTGACAAGTGACTGTGAGGACTTCTGTGAGTTATTTAAATTCTTTGAATTTTAATTTTCTCGTGAGCATTACAGGGACAACCTAGCTTTTTCACTTGAGTGTTGTTTTAAGAAATGGAATAAGATAATGAGTTCCAAGCATAATGCCTGGCACATAGTATGGATTCAATGAATATTATTGTTATTACCTCAGGCTGAGTTTAGTATTTCCATTTAAAATATGATCTTGTTTAGGAGCACCTAGGTGAATTAGTAGGTTAAGTGTCTAACTCTTGATTTCAGCTCAGATCATGATCTCAGGGTTGTGGGACTGAATCTTGTTTTGAACTCCATGCTGAGCGTGGAGACTACTTAAGATTCTCTCTCCTCTGCTTCTCCTCACCCCATCCCCCCCAATTAAAAACCAAAAAAAAAAAAAAAACCCCCCCCAAAAAAAACCCATGATCTTTTTAAATTTTCTGAATGACTCTGAGAAGTGGTAGAGGTAATGATCAAAAAATGATGAATACAATTATAAATGCCATAAATGATACTCCTTGAATTTGGAAAATCTGGTAGGTCTCTTTATCCTTTGAAAAAATGAAGACCAATATAATAATACCATGAGTATCTTGCAAAGTATTTGACATTCATATAGTGCTTTTTGTGTTTTTTTTTTCTCACTTAACCTGAATGCCAGTGTTGTGAAATTGACCAAATGGATATAATTCCTATTTTGTAAGGAGGGAACAATGCCAAAGAGCTTAAGACATGTACACTAAATCAGCAGTAGAATCTGAACTTTAATCCAGTACTCTTTCCTTTACTCTTGTGAAACACTTCATTCTCTTTAGAATGATTGTTCCTTTTTAGGGATGCCTGTCATAATTCATAATAGACTAGGGAGATGATTTGAGGAATGAGGAAAAGCTATTTATATACACACCACATTGTATATCCCAGTAAATAAGAGAGCCTGGGAATATCAGTGAATGTGTGAAACCATTGAGCTACAGGGCTAGTCTGCAACTGGAGTGATCGATCTCAATGAAGAGGGTACCTGGGGACAGGATAATAATGGAGGACGTGTAGGGATTCCCAGAAAGCCTTGGGACCCAGGGATGCATTTCAGGAATTCTCTCAAATCTTTCAGAGTACAATTACCTTAGATTATGACATGTCAGGAATTCCGGGCAGTGCCACATTTGAAATACATCAACATTTGGGACTACATTTTGCCTTGCTTAAGTCCTTAACCTATTTTTTTTAAGATTTTATTTTTTTATCAGGGAGTGAGAAAGAGGAAGAGAGCACAATCAGGGGGAGCAGCAGGCAGAGGGAAAAGCACACTTTCTGCTGAGCAGGGAGCCCAATGTGGGGCTTGATCCTAGGACTCTGGGATCATGACCTGAGCCAAAGGCAGATACCACCCAGGTATCCCAGTGCTTAACCTATTAGACAGGATTTGCTGTTGATTTGTGGTAGTAATTGTAGTTGTAGTAAAATAAAAGAAGTACTTATCAAAAGCTGTTCAATAGTAGCACTATGTACCAAGCATAGTTATAAATACATTGCCTATATTGTTTTAGCTTATTCTCTAACCTTTATATGTGAGAACACTTAGAGCACCCATCTGACAAATGAGGACACTGGGGCACAGAAGTTCCAAGACCATGCAGCCAGTGAGTGAGCTGTGGAGCCAACACTGACCACAGGGTGCTCTGTCCCCAGAGCCTTGTCTCCCAAGCACCTTACTATTCCACAGCAGCACATGCAGGTTACATGCACCGTGATAATAATACTTGGGCACTGCTGGACAGGCTGAATAAACTGAAGGAAGTAGAGCTTGCTCTTTTCAGGACTGGGAAAGTCATTAGTAAGTTACCATGAACTAAACGCTGGTGCTTCACAGTTACTTCTTCCGCGAGCACTCTTGTTTCTTTCAATGTATCTGTCCATCTTCTATTCACTGGCAATAATTTTGTGATACTTGACTATAGGCTTTTTCTTTCTTCCCCCACGATATCCAGTAAATCAGGAGTATATTTACTTTTGCTTTTCTCTCCCACTTTGAGCAGTAAGTCACCAGATTCCATTAAATCTTCCTCTTTCATCTCTCTTGCATTACCTCTTTGTTCTCCATGACTGTTTTCCTCACCCGAGTTAGGCACTAACTTCCAGGGCCATCATCATACATGGGACATGGCTCCCCAAATTTTCATATATTCAAAACCAAGATCAGATCATTTGTCCTGGTTGTTTTGTTCAAGGAAGCATGAAGAACATTTTATTAACCAATGCTGGGGCTCTGATACCCTAGTTTTTGTGTCTTTAATTATGAAAATAGTCTTCCTTATTTCCATATATGAAAATAAAATCTGCCATCATGAAAATTCCTCCCCATCTTTTCTGTAGACTTCATGTCCTCTGTCCTCCCTTTATATGCTAGTGAATTTGGCCATGTCCAGGAACTCTGCCCAATTACCCCCACTCCCAATTTTCTAGAACCCCCTAGGACCCCCTTTCTTTTTAAGTAGGCTCCATGTCTAACATGTCTAACATGGAGCCCATGGGGCTTGAACTCACGACCCTGAGATCAGACCTGAGCTGAGGTCAAGAATTGGATGCTTAACTGACTGAGCCACCTGGGTGTCCTCCAATTTCCCCCCTTTTATTGCTTTACAAGCACTCTAATTGTCTCATAATATAAAATGCCACTTATATGATGATTCCCAAAATTGTGTCTCCAGGGGTGACTTAGAGGAAAGTGTGTATATTAAAGTTTTTCAAATATTTGAAAGTAGCGACATCACCCTGCCATCTCATGCACACCCCATGGCAGTCTCCTAAGTCTTCTGTGGTGCGCAGGTTTCATCAGGTATTCTTGTCCTGTGATTTCTGGACCTTTTACCCTTTTGGATATTTCCTTGGGATGATGACTGGCTTGTTAATTTTCAGATGATCTCATTGATACCCTGATGTCCTGTTGATGCAACTCAGCTTCAGCCATTGGTGTGATGTATTGACTTCAACTAGAACTGTGTCACTTTTATAAGGAGTTTCAAAACTGAGGGTGTGACTTCTAGAAAAACTTGCTCTCATTGCAGTTACCTCATCTTGTGCTGAGGCAACTTCCATGGCCTTTAAGTGCTACAAAGTCAGAGTGTGCCTTATGTATCTTTCCGTCCCAGGAACAGAGTATAGTTCACATATTTAACAACAGTTTATATGAATGGATGAATGCAGAACTTGACTTATAGTATGAGCTCACTGGGGATAGTGTCAAGAAGAAGTGTTATTTTTTGTTGGGAAGTTAATGGCAGATCATGGGAAGTCTTGAAAGACAAGGAAGGAAACTTTGACTTGAAGAGCTAGGTGATAGAGAATGTGTACAAGTTTCTGAGCTTAGAGTGGTTTCCCAAGTTATTATCTGACCTGTTCCACTCACCATACTTTCTCTATGAGAAACCTCAGGGCCATAAGTCTTCCTTCCTGCACAAATAGGAAACTTTAGCTTACCATGGCTGAGGTCTTTCTATGTAGGCCTACTCCTGGGGGAGTCTCTTTCTAAAATTTACTCCAGATGCCCACAGAGCTCTACTGGTAGTGACCTAACTCATCCTTCCATCTGGAACTTACACCACATCCACAAGTCCTTCTCCTTAGGCATTCTACAGCCTTGCACTAGTCTAGCATGAGTACACCTTCAAAGATGTGTCTGTGGGTGTTTCAACATAAATTTCATTGTATAAATTGCCAGGATTGCTGTTACAATGTACCACAAACTTGGGAGCTTAAACAGTAGAAAGGTACTGTCCCCTAATTCTGGAGGCCAGAGATCTGAAATCAAGGTGTTAGTTGATTCTTTTTGAGGGTTGTAAGGGAGAATCTGTCCCAGGCCTCTCTCCCAGCTTCTCACAGTGTGCTGGTACTCTTTAAAGATGCATCACACTGCTTGATCTCTGCCTTCCTCATCATGCAATGTCTTCCAGTGTTTCTTCACATAATCTTCTGTCTATACATTCTCCAAGTTTTCCCTTTTTATAAGGACACCAGCCATGTGAGATTAGGGCCCACCCTAATGACCTCATTTTAACTTATTACCTCTGGAAAGACCCTATTTCCAGATTAGGTAACACTGTAAGGTACCAGGAGTTGGAACTTCAACATATCTTTTGGGGGGAACACAATTTAACCCACAACACTTAGTAATAAATTATAAAAATATATTAGCAGTAAAGATTTTCAAATATAAATTATCATTATTTCTGGTTACATAAAACACAGAACTTGGATTAGGAACAGGTTACATCTTTATTTTTACTAACCTCTCTCTAATTGAAAGGTATAATTTTGAAGGTTGGTAACAAACCACAAGTACTATTACCAGAGTCTGTAATTTCATTATGTAGGTCTTTTCATATCACATTACTTCATACTATGGTTTATGATCTTCACCACCTTGAAATTATGAGTAATTTCAGTTTCCACTAGATCTTGGGTACTCCAAAGAAAATAAGAAGAAAATGTGTTCATAGATAGGCACATGTATTACTATATCAGAATTTTAAAAAATTGGGATAACTGAATTTCAACATAATTGCTTTGTTTTTAAAAATTATATTTTGAGAAACATCCATAGGATTTATAAAATTCTCAGAAGTTTCACTGCACAAAAAAAGTTCTAGAACGTTGTTCTAGCCAGTGGAGATAACATAGTGAAACCACTCAGATAAGTTTCCTGCTCCCACGGAACTTGGTTTGTGGATTGGCAACAAGGAATGTGTAAAGAGTAAACAAGAAATAATCAGCAGAATTTCAGATAGTCATAAGGCTGTGAATATATACAATTTGGATGAAAATGGGTGTCAGACACAGAAGATCCAGGAATAGAGAGCCCCCGGCAAAAGGAGTAGCCAATGTACAACTTGAAGGTGGGGCAAGCTTGCTGTGATCATGAAATAACTGGAAGGTCAGTATGGCTGGAGTAAAAACAATTTTTGAGAGAGAGAAAAGTCATTCTAAATGAGAAAGAGAGTAGGAGGAAGAAGAGAAACCATGTATAGAACATGTAGCCTAGGGTAATAGGTTTCAATTTTATTCTAATTACATTTTTCACATACTGGATATTTTAAAAAATATATAAAATACACACGTGTATATTTTATGAAAAATATACATGAAGTTTATCATCATAACCATCTGTAACTGTACAGATCAGTGGCATTCAGAACATTCACACTGTCTCTGCCTCTCTCATGAGTAAATAAATAAATCTTTAAAAAAATAAAAAACACTGTTATGCCATCACCACTATCAATCCACAGAACTCTTTGTCTTCTAAAACTGAAGCTTCATCTCCACAAAACACTAACTCTCCATTCACCCCACCCCCATCATTGGAGATTTTTGAGCAGGGCAGTGATATGTTTTTCATTTTAAAGATATAACAGTTTGCTCTATGGAGAAAACGTTGCTAGGCAAGAATAGAAGTACTAACAGGAAATCGGTTAGGAAGTCAGATGAGAGATGATAGCAGATGAGCTACAGTGTTAACAAAGGATGGAATGGAAATGTATTTTCAGTAAATCTACTTGCAGTCAACCAGACAGCGTTTGATGATAATCGGAACAAGTATGGAGAAGGATGTGGAGTCTTTTTCAGGCCTGTTAAATCTGAGTGGCCTGTTAGACATCCCAGTGGAGGTACCAAATAGAATTGGGCATACAAGCCCAGAGCTCAGGAATATATATATATTATATGATAATATATATAATATATATTATTTATACATATAAATACATGTCATAAAAATATTATATTTGGAAGTCATGGGTAAGTGGGTGGTATTTAAGCCATAGGATTGGCTGAGATAATTGAGGGAGAAAATATACACAAAGAAGAAGAGCAGAAGTAAGCCTGGGGCACTCTCTGTTGTTGAACACAGGCTGAGAAGAGGATTTTGTGAAGGCTCTAGCCAGTTTTAGAGAGCTGGGTGCTACAAGAACCTGGATCTGGGATCAGGAAAGGAAGCAAAGCTACTCCTTAAGAACCTCATTGTACCTCTGAGTCTTACTAGGAGAGAGGTCTGTCCTGTCTCCTAATTTACGTCTATACCCTGAACATCTAAGACCAGGCTGGCATAAATGGGACCAAGGAAAAATCTGTAGTTATTTGAAAGAGTTCAATACTTTTTGTACTTAGAAACACATTATCATATAAATATAATTAGTAAAATGTATATTTAAGGAAAGAGAAAGTATTTCATTATGCAGAAGCTTTGAATATATTTTGTCTTCCCATAAATTAACTATGGTAAGTGTATATTTTAATTCTTTCTGTCATAAGACATTTTATGTATTATATATGTATTATATCTCAATAACTATTTGATTAATCATGCAAAGTTTAAGAAGTCCAAAAACATGTGTGAAATATATATGCATACATATATCTGTGATTTTTTAAAAAAGATTTTATTTATTCATGGGGAGCCCAATGAGGACTCAATCCCAGGACCCCGGGATCACAATCTGAGCCAAAGGCAGACTTTCAACCACTGAGCCGCCCAGGCATCACTATATGTGATTTTATATATATGTGACATATATAAAATTTTATATTTTTGTATATATATTTTCTATACATGTGATATATATAATTTTTATATATCATATATATGTATATATAATTTTGGTTCAAGTAAGAAATATCCAAATGTTTTCACTTGAAGTCATTCTTGATATATGATTTGTAAATGTCTTTTTTGAAAAACCAATTTTAGAGATAGGGTATAATATACCTTAGTAAAGTCATGTTCTTTTTTCTAGTTGGTCATCAGAGCTAGAACTTTGGGGCAAGATTCCAAATAATGAATAATGAAAATGTTGAATGTCTCTTCTCTTGCACTGAGACGCTCTTAGAAATCCATAGTTTGCTAGTTATTTGGAAATGTTTCACCCCTTTGTTCTAGAAAATATTCCGGTTTTTGCATGTGTTGCCCTTTGCCATACTCAAACATTTGGGAAATGGAAATAGGGAAGCAGTTGTTTCTTAGAAAAACTATAGATGAATGGAACAGGAACTGCAAAATTAGCAAAATGTAACAGGAACTGTTGATCTTGTACATTATTGCTTTTGCTTATTTTTTCTCCTTTGCTAGGAGACCTGTTATGGTGATGTGTGTTGTATTCACTACACTTCCCAGCTTCAGCTTTTCTATCGCAGTTACTGAGGTATGGAATTTTTATTTCTTCTGCAAGATTTTGAGATTTTGAAATATCCCTTGTTACTGAATTTTGATAGAATAATATGCCTGAAAATTATCTTAAAGTTTATTTTATTTAGGCTTCTTCCAAGTTACATTGTATATATTTAAAGTCCTAAGATCATCATTACCTCTGAGATTGTGAAGGAAGGTCTAGCAGCTAATTAAACAAACAAACAAAACCCTTCTGTGTTTGTGTATGAGAGACAGGAACATTAATTTCAAAATAATAAAAAAGGAATCTGAAAGCAGATCCACCTTTATTTCTTTTAACTAGAGGTCTTTTAAACTAGTGTCCTCAGTTCTAAACAATATCCAAAGGAAGAACTACTCACATTACAAGACCTTTGATAATATATCCATTGGCGAAGGATTTGTACATGATATTTATGTGAAAGTAAATATGACTATATTTTGACTAAATGCAGCTTCAAAACGACTCTGGTAGATGGGCATCTATAGGGCTTGGTTCTCAGCATTCAGTAGATCGTATATCTACCTCACATACACAACTCCTATGGATTGAGGGTCTAACTCCCTTATGTGAGAGGCTGGTTCAAAGCTGCCTTCCAGGAACTGTGGTGTTCCAGAGGCTTTTCAGTTCATTTTTCCCAAATATTATAGGCGAAATTTCCAGGTTGTGAGAAGTTTGGGTTAGAAGAATAATGCCCTATTAACCTTATTAATTTACATGATGCTGTGAAAAATATAATTTTCACTTCTCTAAAGTGAACAACTTAAATTCTTTTATATTTCATAGATGAAATATGTTGAGTAGATACTTATCAAGTGCATATTACATCCCAGGCACTGTGTTAGGTACTGGGATAGAACACTCAGAAAATTTGACAGAGCCTCTGGCCTTCAGTAATTATTAATAGTAGAGAGAAAAATAATAGGCAATTAGAATAGTTCTGATAGGCATTATGAGAGAAGTGAGTACTGGGTAGTGTATGATATCATTAGAAATACATGGTTGTTAGAATATATCTTAGATGCTACATTAGGACAATGTATGAATGGGTTAGAGTAACCTCAGAAGAGCTCCACAAATGTACTTTGCATCAAACAGCAATATGTGAATATTCTTATCTAGATTTATCATTTCTTCCTCCCTCCTCCCCAAAGACTTTGTAAAGCACTTGGGAGGTTCCCAAGACCTTTAAAAATTCAGTTTACAACATTTTAAGGAAACCTATTATCATTAAATGATTGTATATTTGTAGTTTTGATTGCCCTTTTTGCTTATTTTCTATGATGCTCTTACCCACTGTTGCATTTTTCCTTCTTTCATTTAATTTTTCTCTGAAGTATAACACACAAATAGAAATGTGTATAAAACATAAGATATACAATATTAATGGATATCACAAAGTGAACCCCTGTGTAAACACTACTCGGGTCGAAAAGTAAAACTTTGCCAGCTCCCTAAATGCAACCCCCATGTTTTTTGCAATAACCATCTTTCCGTTCTCCTCAAGTTACATTGTATATATTTAAAGTCCTAAGATCATCATTACCTCTGAGATTGTGAAGGAAAGTCTAGCAGCTAATTAAACAAACAAACAAACTCTTCTGTATTTGTGTATGAGAGACAGGAACATTAATTTCAAAATAATAAAAAAAGCAGGAATCTGAAAGCAGATCCACCTTTATTTCTTTTAACTAGATGTCTTTTAAACTAGTGTCCTCAGTTCTATCCAATATCCAAAGGTAATTTCTACCTTAACTTCTAATACCACAGATTGGTTTCTCTGTTTTTGAATCTTTTTAAAGGGAAAGACAATTATATATCTGCCACTTATCTATTGTATATCTAATTATCTATTTAATATGTGTCAGGCTTCTTTTATTCAAAAGTGTGACTCATACAACCATAGTTCATTCGTTTTCATTCTGTAGAATATTTCATTTTGTGAATATGTTAGTTTATCATTTCTGCTTTTGATGCCTCCATTCAGTTGTGTCTGATTTTGGTTAGTACAAATAATGCTGCTGTGAATGTCTTTGAGTATGTCTACTGATGCACATATGCAAGAATTTTATTTGGTTAAATATGCAGGAGTATTAATTGATGGGTCTTAATATATTCAAATGTTCAACTGTAGTAGAAAATGCCAGTTTTCCAAAGAGATTCTACTAATTTAGACTTAACACTGGCAGAGAATGAGCATGCCTATTGGTCTATATCCTCACTAACCTTACCTTGTAAGTCTTTGAGCCCTTCTGGTGGGTATATTCTTGAATCTCATTGTAGTTTTATATTGAATTTCCCCAATAACTAATTGAGCATTTTCTTACGTTGCCACTTTTTTTTCCTATTGTGTCACTTACCTTTTTAGAATTTATTCAGAAGTTATATATATATATATATATATTCAGATTTCAAGCTCTTTGTTAATTATATGTATTTCAAATATAGTCACACTCTGTGATTTAATACTTTTTATGCTATTTTTGGACAAATAGTTGTTCATTTAAAAACAGTCCAATTCATCAGTTTCTTTTCTTCATGGATAGTAATTTTGATAACTTGAGAATATTTTGTCATACTGTGAATCTGAACCCCAAAGACCAGAAGATTTCCTCCTATACTTTATTTTGGAGCCTGTCTTGTTTTACATTCTCTTTTAGATTCACAATCCATTTGAAACTACTTTTTGCATATATTGTGCAGTCGGAAGTTCATTTTTCCTCCAATCAATGTCTAATGGATAGAGCACTATTTGTTAAAAAGTCTGTCTTTCCACATTTCTCTGCAGTGCTACTTTTGTTATAAATCACGTATGTGTGTGTCTATTTGATATATATGTGGGTGTGTGTGATATATATATGAATATACACACACATCTATTTCAAGTCTTCTGTTTTGTCCACTGCCTGCTATTATATACCTATGCCAACACCACACTGAATTCTTACAGCTTTATAATAGCTCTTTATATCCAAAAGAGTAAATATTTATATCTTTTTTGTCTAAATGTCTTGCTGTTTGTATTTCTATGTGGATTTTGGAATCAGCTTATCATTTTCTGCAAAAACTTTGAATTTTGATTGAGGTTGCGTTGAATGGTATCATTTTTTTAAAATCTCATTTTCGGGATCCCTGGGTGGCGCAGCGGTTTAGCGCCTGCCTTTGGCCCAGGGCGCGATCCTGGAGACCCGGGATCGAATCCCACGTCGGGCTCCCAGTGTATGGAGCCTGCTTCTCCCTCTGCCTGTGTCTCTGCCTCTCTCTCTCTCACTGTGTGCCTATCATAAGTAAATAAAAATAAATAAATAAAATAAAAATCTCATTTTCCCTTTATGGGTATTTAGAAATAATTTATCCATTTGGGGGAGGTTTTACCCATGTACAATTATGTAGTCTATGAATAATGATACATATTTCTTTTCTTTCCAATACTTACAGTGTTTATTTCTTTCTCTTGTCTCATTACACTGGTTAGGACCCTCTAGTACAATGTTGAATAGACTTGGTCATGGTGGCACCTCGTCTTCTTCCTGGTCTCAGAGGGAAAACTCTCAACATATCACCACTAATATTATGTTTGCTATAGGTTTTTTTTGGTAGATACCTTAATCAGATGAAGGCAGTGTCCCAAAAGTTGGCTGGATTTACCAGGACTCTCCCTTCTTGGAAGACACTGAACTCCATCCAATATCTATGCCCCTAATTCTTTGACCTAGGGACTTCCAAAGGCTCTGCTTAGCAGTACAGTTGGAGGAAATTACCCATCCCATCATTACCAGGAGCCTGCTGTTATATTTATGCCTGTATTTACCAAGTTTTATGGGGTTGAACACCTGAAAAGCTGTAAATCGAACTTCTAGTCTTTTAGGAAATATCTTTATAATTAATTTAGTGCTGCTTCAGACTATTAAAAGAATTTTAAACAAAGAAAGTATAAAAATGTAATCCTTCCAAATGGTTTTCTGAAAACAGGTTAAAAAAAATAATGGTACTGCGTCTCCCTTACCTGAAACATTACCTGACCTGCCAGTTTCTCTGGTTCTGACTTCCTTGATTGTGGTTGATATTATCGAAAAACTCAGGATATATCCTCTTAGAGGGCAGCAAAAGAGTAAGTATTCTTTTAAATATAAATATCTTTAGGAGTTTGACAGATTATTTGTATTTTGGTAGTACTGATAAAGAATATACTTACAAATATTTAATATGAAAAATTTTTTTACTCTAGTGAGAAAATTATCTAGGTAAATTATTATAGATTTATATTTTTTAGGAACTCTCCTAAAACCTTAAGTTTAGGTAAATAAGTAGCTTAGTTTGGGACACCTTTGTGGGTTGTTTTGTTTTGTTTTGTTTTGTTTTTTTGTGGGGGGACATCTTTGATACAGAAATCAATGTGACTACTGCAATTATGTCCTAGAGAATTATGTGTTTTTAATTGTGGATTGTCAAAAAGCTAAATATCACACTAACAAAATCAAGATATACTGCAAATAATCCTGCAAAAAAGATCAATCAAACCTAATTTAGGTTGGCCTTTAAAAAAAAAGGTATTTTGCTAATTGAATATTGTGTTTGTTCTTAAATTTTCTCAACTTTTTACTTAATTTTGTGTGATAATATCTGTGTTTAATTTATAAGTGTATGCTCTAGTTCTTATATGGCTAAGATTTTATATTTGGAGTGGGTAAGTTTTGTCTATTCACTTCCTGTCTGGTAGGGTGGTTGAGTTAAATTGAGTGAGTCACTAGGGAATTCTTTAGAGTAATAGGGATGACTACTACAGCCAGGAAGGAAAAGACCAGAGAATCATTTATGGCACATGAGCCACCAGCCTTCCAGTCATTCTTACTCCTGGAATTGAGAAATTAAACTGAGTTGGGAGGCCATCAGGAAATCTGAGACTCTGAGCTTCATGTTCTGTACTTTGTCCTTGGTAGGAGATGATGGTTGTTATGTTTAACATAACATAGTGTATGATAAGGTAGGTAAGATGGTAGCTAGTGGCCATCTGTTGAGGAAAAGGTATCCTTAAGTTACATCTGCCCTCCAGAGTCAAGTGTATTTGTCTGAATCTGAGGGGATTTGGGAATTGTCTGAATTGTCATATCCTTTGCCACTTCTCTAGACTCCTGATGCAAACCTATTTTGAAATTGGATTGTTTTTAATAATGCTATAATTTCCATTCTAATGTGGACTTTCTGTTTAAGCTCTTAGTGAAAGTTCTCTTTCTAAAAAATGTATGGGCATTTTTGGAAATAAGTTATTGGCATTTTATATTTTAAGTGATGAGTTGGATTGTTAAAGGGGAATTTTCCCTGTATCCAGTAATTACACTGAGAATTGAAATGAGAAAACTCCACAAAGAAGTCCGTCTTGGAGACAACACTTGATAAAATATTGCACAACTGCTTTTTCTTGTTTGAAGACCCTTCTTCTTGAGCTCTTGTCTGACCAACCTTGGGAGGGTTAATTTCTGGTTTAATAGCTCCACCATTTAACAAAATCATGCTTTAAAAAACCAGCATTCACTCAAAATACCTTTGCAAATATGAATATATGTTAATTTAACTGTTATGCAAGCTTTTGAACTCAAATAGTCCGCCATATGCATTTTGACATGCATACTAATAAAATAAATTATGTGAATTTTGAATTTATGGGGAATTCTCATTTATTCTCTGGAATTTAATACATAAATTCATAAACATAGAAGTTGTAATTCATAAATCTGAACATAAGCCGGTATGCTAAAATATGCTGTCACTGCATGTGGCACTTCAGAATCCAAGAGATAGGGTAGGGGTGGGTGGTGAACAAGCTTTAGAAACATTTGACTTCCTTTAGAAAATGTTTGGGAAAGGGAATATATTCTGTTCTGTGCTTTTTTCAGAGAGTTTGAAATACCTACCCATCTATGAGCTTGTAGCAGTTATGACCTTATGTGAGATGAAAATAAAATAATCTACAATGCTTTCTGGACACTTTCATGCCATCTCAACCATCTCAGTTACAAGCTGGAAAAGCTTGATCTTTGTGTAGCTTTTCCTTTTCTATAATTTTAAATAAAAGTTATTCAATATAGAAAAATATGCTTATGCTTAAAGCAGTCTTCACTGAATCAAGGAGTCCATTCTGCTAACTTTCCATTACCAGTTGAAATATCTCAGTATCAAGTGATTATCAGGTCATAACATCCAGGCTCATCATTTCACATATCCTGAGCCTCACATGGGAATATTTTTTGATACACAGATCTTTGAGGCACAGCTGTCTCACAGATGTATGCCATACCTAATAATGTCAGTCCCAGTCATGGGATCAAATAATAAGTATACTGCCTGAATGTCCCCAGCTCTTACTAGGATGAGGGTACAGATGAGCACACTTTGATATTTCTATTTGAATTTTACTAGCTCAATCCCAACCAATGAATTACTAGACATCCATTCCCCTTCCTCTTCCATATTGTTCCCTTTCCCATTTTTTAAGCCAGACCGAAGGTGAGTCTCTTGTAGTCTCATTTGTTGGTCCAGACTGCTAAATATTCCATTGTTCCTGCTTTTTTTCAGTTATCATTCTCATGCACAAACAACTTGTCATGCTATTTTTCCACCACTCTTGACTGACTCTGCTCTAAATGCTTTTAGTACTGCTATTACTTGCCTCTGGGATATTATTTGATGTTCCGCTGATGCTTTAGACTGATTGCTTTTCTTTTGACAGTTGGAAGACTGACTTCCTTCACTGAGTTCTACTTGTTTAGAGACATCCCAAACAGAGCAATAGATTTTCATTTGGGAACACAAGTCTTTTATGCCCAGAATGTATAAGTACCAACAGATTGGTCGTGATTTAACAACTTCAAGTAATAGTCATTCCACTCCACTGGAAACCATCATTTCCCCTCCTATCACTAGATCTTGTGGCTGATTCTGGTAGTGCCAGATTCCTTTTCTTGAGGTAGTTTTTTTCCATGGGATCTCATAGTTTCTCCTTTATCAGTTTTACTTGTATTTTCTGAACCCCAAATCATGGTCACCCTTAGATTCTCTTTGCCCCTATGTAGATTCCTTAACCTCCATAAAAGCCAGCAATGCAAACAGACACACAAAGAAGTCTGTGGTTAGGATGCATATTTTCAGTTCTACCTGCAAGGACTCATTTGAATAGTATAATCCTAGTTCAGGCACCATGTTACATGAGGAATAATAGAGTGTCATAGTTAAAGTACTATGCAGTGACATGTGAAGGAGTACTTCATTTAATGTAGGGTTTTGGAAGTCAGAAAAAAACTAAAGGGAATATCTGGGATTTGTAGGAATTAAAGCAGGCATAGTGAGGAAAGTTTTCTACATAGAAGGAAGATTGGGTCTCAAGAAAGTCAGGTATACATGTAATACACAGGCAAAAATAACCAGTTGAATTTCACTCCCTAAATGGAAAACCTATTGCTGGAATGAAAGTTGTCTTCTTAAAACCAGCTACTGTTTGTTTTTCAAATAGTCCATTTGGAAACCTGTACAACATTGCTTATGGGGGCTGTGGGCAGAAAGGGTGGCTTAACTGGAGTCACTGGTTGCCCCAAATCCCACTTGAACCAAATCAATACAACTTTTGTTTGTTTAGGAGTTGATATTTTATGTAAGATTTCATTTGGAAAGAAAATGGTTTTCCTGCAAAATGTCTGTTAACCATTAACCCCAGACCTCATTTAGATTCTAAGGCAATACCATAACTCAGGTGGCCAGTTCTCTACCTCTCCAGCCCATGGATCTCTGGGCATCATGGCACTGAACCACCAAAGGACAAAGTGCATCCTTATCCAATATCTTGTGACTGCTGTTGCTTTGGGATATGATACAATACAATACAATACTATACAACATACTAAAATCCACTACAATATAGCATTGCTGGGTGAGCAGGTCCATCCCACCAGAGCATACATAGGTTTTGAGGCCCAACACATAAAAAACAGATGCATTTTTTGAACATTCTGCTTCAAATTGTTTTATTTCTAATGTTTTCCCAAAATAATACATATAATTTTAAAATATCGTCAAATAAACATAAGCAAAAAAGAAGAAAATGGGGGACACCTGGGTGGCTCAGTGGTTGTCTGCCTTCGGCTCAGGGCGTGATCCCGGAGTCCCAGGATCGAGTCCCACACTGGTTCCCCTTGGGGAGCCTGCTTCTCCTTCTGCCTATGTCTCTCCTTCTCTCTCTCTCTTAGTGTCTGTTATGAATAAATAAATAAATAAAATCTTTTTTTTAAAAAAAGAAGAAAATGGAAGTCAACCATGATCCTGTAGACTAGAGATTTATAACTGATAACATCTTCATGGACATTTTTCGTTTAAGGAAACCTATTTTGCATCTTTTTTCTTAACAATATGTGGTGGGTATCATCCTTATTGTATCTTCTTCAGCTACATAGTTTTGATTGGTTGAATAATATTCCATTATATTAATGAACCCCAACATATTTAACTGTGATTTAATAACTCCTGTTGTTGGATGACTAGATTATTTTCTAGTTTTTAACTACTAAAAACACTATTGTTATGACTGTTATTCAGAAGTAAAAAGGGTTGCAGGAAAAAGCAAAAAGCAAAAGGATGTGGTGAAAATGAGCAGGGTGACATGGTTGGAGTTAAGCAGGGGAGGCAAGCCATGTGTGGAGAGTGCACATGCATTGATGGCGCAGGTGGTCAGTGTCTGGAGGACCCTGGCTGTATATGAGAGTTAGAAGCCACTTGTAGGTAACTGGCCAAGCAGTGGCTGGGGACAGAGAGAGTTAACTGCCACTGGATCACAGCCGAATGATATCAGGAGGATGACCACAGAGTGTCCTCAGAAGACCCTGAGCATCTGCACATGCCCAGACTCCTTGGCAATGACACTTGCCAGAGAAAATGGGACTGTTATGGACTGGCTGCACATGCAGACAAATACACAGGGGGTCGTTTGTAGGGGATTGTACCAACGGGATAGCAAGGTGGTTTGGCTGCATTAGGGATATCTGCACAGTCATAGACGGCTTGCTAGAGGTGAGATCAACAGGCTATTTGAGTGAAAACATCAGAGCTCTGCAGAGGAGGTGGTTT